GGGACCTTTTGCAAGCAAAGCAAAAATGCCAATCTGAGACGCACTATTTATTATGTTATAATCTAGCATTTGAGGATTTCCACAATTTGTGCACTTTGTAAGGTTGAAGATTTAACAATAATGATGTAATTGGAAAAACCTACCGCAAGTCCAATTATTTTCATCCACCAGCAGAGAATCATCTTTGCCTAAACACTGCGGATGATAAGATTTGAGACAGTTCCTGTGAACAATGGACATGAAAAGTCAAAGAGCTTAGACAACATTCTCTTTCAAGGGATGAAAAAGACCGCGTTACTCTTCAGTTCAAAAACAGGACTTGATTAGTTTAAAAAAAAAAAACACTCTCTCCCATCAAACAATTTCCTTAAACATAAAAAATGGAGATTTTGAGAAGACCCTTCTGCAGAAAGAAAAAAAGAAACTAAAGGGCTTAAAGAAAAAAGGTGAAAAAAGAAAAGGAGAGAGTGGAGTTTTTCGCTACTTTCTGCAAAATTTTCTAAAACTGGAAAGGAACAGAAAAATTTTGACCCTTTTTCAAATTGGCAAGTCGCAACCATTTGATTGATTTATCTATTTATATTTTTGTCTCAATTATTAGCTGATGATATTTATCGTTTTCCAAAAATATGGGATACTAGTAAACTAGAGAAATTTATTAATAAACTGTTCACTCACCCATGATTATTGAAAGCTGTTATATCACTTGTCATTACAAGTCTAGTTAATTTATCGGATTTAATCAAAATTAACTTGTTATATCTTTGATAAAAGTCTTATCTTACTTTTCAATAATCTTTTGAGAGATGAAATTTTGCTTAGCTTGATGAACTAATACACTTTTCAGAGCAATCGAGATAGAAAACATTACACATAAGGCTGTGACGAAGTGCTCCAAACGTTTTGAATTAAAATTTCAGCAACAGTGGCAACAGTTAGGCAGGGAGACAAGATGAATCACTACTCCACCCCATATGGTCTAGGCCAAAAGATATTAGAATAGCCTGGAGAAGCAGAGACACCTCCAACTGTTGCATCCTTCAAGTCAAAAAACTCACCATGGATCAACTTCAAAGGGACCACGATTGATATAAACACAAATCCCTTTACATCCTGGGAACTCTTAGGCAGAAAGAGTGAATGAACCATCGTACCCAACAAAAAACACTGAATCCTCCAATCCATCCATCACCGCAACCCATTCACGTTTCCCTTCGTCAAGCTTATAAACCATGAATTCAAAAGATTGAATTGATATCTTAATAATCAAAAACAAATCTTGGAAGGACTTTATTAAGTCCGACCGAATCCGTAAACCTTCAATCTGCAGTGGACCAGCAACTTGAGAAACAGAAACAGACTTAGAATCCACAGTTACAGTAACACCAGTGGACATCAAAGCAAAGAACGTTTCATTATGATAAATTACATCAAGAGGATCCTCATAACCGACGTTTATTATAGCCCATTTCTTGTCTACATTTCTCCACATCAGCACGTTTCCTCGGGTTATTGTCATAACGGCGAACCCATCATCACTCGCATCATGGCCAGAAGACACAACTGCCTTTCCGAAAACACAAGGAATCCTACTATTAATATCTTTACCTTGATAAAATACTTCAAGTCTATAGGCTTTAGCTACTTCCTTGACCCGATAATCCAACAAGTTCAAAGACTCGGGTAACTTTTCAGACTCGGGTACCCAGTCGTCCCAGATTCCAAGACGACGACTAGAAAACGGATCCTCTAATCGAACTTTGCCATTGTGCAATTCCTCGCTTTTGACTAACCATGTATACTTAATTTGGTTTGGATTGGAGATACTGGGAAGGGATTTGATGGCATAAAAAGTGAACTCGACGAGAACCAAGGGTGGAAGGCCTGGAAGGGTAATTTTAAGGTCCGCATGTGGAGATGCAGGTTTAAGCGGTGGAGGAATTGAGGAGCGAAATGAATTACAAACGGCGCGAAAACAAAGCCTATCAATTCGCGTGGGGAGCCGTTCTTCGATGGAGGCCAGAAGGTGGTCTGGAAGACTGGACCAATCAGGGGTGTTTGTGTCCATTGCTGAAATAAACTGGTGACTTCTGAGATATAAGAACACAGAAAAGAAGAAGAAGATGGTGATGAAGAAGGCGAGAAGGGTTGAATAAATAATGGGTGGTGCAATTTAACGGTCATGACGAAGAAGGCGAGGAGGACTGAGTAAATAATGGGTAGTGCGATTCAACGGTCATGACGAAGAAGACGAGGGCTGAGTAAATAATGGGTAGCGGCGTAGCGCAATTCAACGGTCATGACGAAGAAGACGAGGAGGGTTGAATTAATGAATGGTAGTGCAATTCAACGAATAAAATTTCACATGACAAGATTATACTTCTCGAGGAAGCCATGCAAAATCCTGAAAATTAATATTCGATCTTTATTTTAATATTCAAGAAAATTCCACCTTTTTAGCCACCTTAATTAATTTTTTTTCAAAAATAATACCCTCATAAATATACATTATTCAGTTCTTTTATTTAACATTTGTCTTAAAAAAAAATCATTGTTTCCATTTTTTCAAAAATTATATAATGGAGACGGTAGAACTACCATTGGTTTCGCACACCATTACTATTGTCGGAGACTTTGGTGGATATCACTCATAAAGCCATGTTCAAAATATTGTATTCATTCAAACAAAAGTCTATTCATGAATCTCATAATTATCCGATAAATCTAAATGATATGATCAAAATTTTCGATACAATTTTTCACGGCCGCCGTCCTTTCCACCACTGCAAAATCCAACCAGTGGATTATCAGCTCTAACATTTTTTAACTCCTACCCAACCGATTTAATATTCCTTCACCATTGAATTACTGCTCATCCAATATGCATTTCCCTGATTTGGTTGACCTCATTTGCCTTTGCTGGGAAATAACCCAAAAGTAAAATCGTCGTGTATTTGGTTTATTACATTTTAGTCCTACTCCTTATTTTAATATGGTCTTCTATTTCCTACTTCATTTCCATTTAACCCTCAATTTTTTTTTTTTATTTTTATTTTAAATAAACAGATGTCAAGTTATGCATAGGCACCCAACTAATGGTATCAATTACCCCGGTAATATATCTTATAAAAAAAATGTTATCTCATATTTAATATTCTTATTTTTTTAATTAAATATAAAACACCTAATTTTAAAACTTTCACCTTAATCCCCAAATCTCCTTAAGCTAGGCTTGCAACAAACACATTGTTATATTATATCAAAGTTAATGCATAATCTCTTTATCGTTAAGTTTTAAGTGTTAAAATAAACGATAGACGAGCAATTTAGTAATATTTACTAATTCATCATAGTGTAAATTTTAACAATTCATTAAAGATAAATGAATTTATGTTATTTCCAAAACCTTAGAAAAATTTTATTATTACTTCATAACTTAAGAAGATTAAGGTCATTTCACTCATTATATCATTGAGTATCATCATTCATCCACCCAACTTGTCTTTAGTTCTGTTAATTAGGTAGAAAAGAAATAAAATTCCACCCATTAAAAAATGAGTCAATTTTTTTTTCTTTAAATTGGGATATTCAAATTAGCTTACACGTATCTCAATTAATCTTTATTAAAATAGTAAACACTTAGTAAAACTCAAATACAAAATCTCTAACTAACCTAAGTTCTTATCATTGAATCGCAAGCTTAAGTGTTCCATTATTGATACCTAAACAACTCCCAAAGGGTGTTCTCGTCAAAAGAAAAAAAAGGTTGGAATTTCTTCTCCTTTAAGGTAGAGGAGCAATGGTGCATTCATAGGAAAATGCTTACCAAATTCATACACCGACCAATGTTCTGAAACCCGGACCGGATCGGACGGTCGAACCGGTCCGATCGGGTTTCCCTGAGATTTCCGGTTTAAAAAAAAGTAAAAACCCAGATTTTTAAGTTAGACCGTTTTAAATCGCAGTTGGACTATTTTACTGTAGCAGACCGACGGTCCAACCGGTTTAAGAAACAAATCCGGTCCACTAAGTAAAATTTAAAAATGTGAAAAAAATTTAAAAAGTTAAAGTCAAACGGTCAAACCCCCATTTTTTTAATCCATACTATTTCTTTTGCAGATTACTGTCTGCCACTTTACTAAATTGAAATTTGCGTTTGCTTTTTGGTTTGCTTTTTCAGTTTTCTTTTTTGTTTGCCTTTGCCATTCTGATCTCCACTCTCCAGTCCCGTCCTCCTCCTCCATTCACGATCTCGGATCTCCTTCAAGCTTCAGCTTCAGCCTTCAAGTCTTCACTCTTCAAGTCTTCAACCTCTTCAATCATCGCGATCTCCTCCTCTTCAATAACCTCTTCAGGCTCCAGTCCAGTCCTCCTCCATTCGCGATCTCCTTCAATTTTCAGCTTCGGCCTTCAAGTCTTCAACCTCTTAAATCATCGCTCGTCTGCTAGTTTGCTTCTTCCTTGCCGTGGCTGGTCTACTACACTACAGTCGTGATATTATTTTGTAATGCCTTTGATGATGTTTGAAACTTTAGACTTTGAGAATTGAATTTGTAAACATTAAGTCATTAACTATCAAACTCGAATGGTTTTATTATTATTGTTGTAGAGTTGGTTGGACGGGTTTTAGATTTTCGTTACATGAAAATCTGGATTTTTAATTTTGTTTTACTTTTTATCGTGTTTTGCTGATGTCAGCGGTCCGATCGACCAGTCTAATCGTGAAAATTGAAAATCAGGCCTCTGGCCGAGTCGAATCCCGATCCAGTTTTCAAAACATTGACACCGACAATCGTCCTTTTTTTTTTTATAAATTATAATTAATCCATAGTCATAATAATATCCCCTTTTTCAATGTATAAATTTGGTATACATTCTTTTGTAAGTGCATGTATCATTTTTCTAAGGCAAAGTATCACTTTTACAGTGACAATGGAGAAAAGAATCTAAAAGATTTGGATGTTACCTGTCCTTTTCTCACCCCACCATCCCCCCACAATTTGCGTCCTTTCTTCCTTCTTACTCCCCATAAATATAATATCTCCCAACACACTCTCCGCCTTTCTAAAATGAGCTCCACTAAAGCAAACTCCGATCAACCACCCAAGCTCAGCCTCCCATGGAAAACAAGGATCGCCATTTCATTTCTCTCCGCTCTTACCGACACATGTCGTCGCTCCGACGGTACTATCAACCGTCGGCTCGTCAAGTTCTTGGACTTTCAGACTTCTCCCAATTCTAAACCCATAAACTCCGTTTCCACCTCCGACACCACCGTCGATCCTGCCCGCAATCTCTGGTTCCGTACCTTTTCTCCCATCTCAGTCTCCGGCCCCACCCCCGTTGTCATTTTCTTACACGGAGGTGGCTTCACTTTCCTAAGCGCTGCCTCTAAAGTCTACGACGCCGTTTGCCGCCGTTTCGCGCGTAAAATCCCTGCTTTTGTTATTTCTGTTAATTATCGTCTGTCCCCTGAACATCGCTACCCTTGTCAATACGACGACGCATTTGATGTTCTTAAATTTTTGGATGACAAGGCAGTACTTCCACAAAATGCTGACTTGTCAAAAGTTTTTCTTGCCGGTGATAGTGCAGGTGCTAATATAGCTCACCATGTGGCAGTTCGAGCCTGTCGGGCTCAATTTCGGGTGTTGAAGATAATCGGGCTGGTTTCAATCCAACCGTTTTTTGGTGGTGAAGAGAGGACTGAATCCGAGACCCGATTAAAGGGGTCACTTTTGGTTTCATTGGCCCGAACCGATTGGATATGGAAGGTGTATTTGCCAGACGGGTCAAACCGAGACCACGAGGCAGCTAATGTGAGCGGGCCGAATGCGGTAGATATATCGGGTTTGGATTATCCGGAAACGCTTGTGTTTGTGGGCGGGTTTGACCCGTTAGGGGATTGGCAAAAGAGATACTATGAGTGGTTGAGAAAGTCAGGGAAAGAAGCAACGTTGATTGAGTATCCACACATGATTCATGCTTTCTATATATTTCCTGAATTACCAGAGGCCTCTCAGTTAATTGGACAAGTTCGAGATTTCGTGACCCAGCGATTGTCTAAATTATGAGTAGATGAAGAACGTATAAGTTTTTATTATTATTATTAGTTTAATGTGTATTATTGTATTTCTATGGTGTTCAACAAATGTAGTCAGTTTTATTACTGTTTAGTCCAATTATATTTATAATTTGTTAAACTTATTTTAATCCAATTATTTATTTATTTATTACTACATGCCTTTTAAATTCATATAATTAAAATAGAAAATAAAAAGCTTAAGATAATAATTAAACTATGTCATGTTAAAATGTCGTAATATCCATTTTTGTCTATATTTTAAATATTTCATATAATATAAAAAGATTTTCTTATGTTTGAGGTGATCGCGGCCACTCTAGGTCCACCTCTAATTCTTTTCTTTATAATAGTATATGCGTATATATTAATTCAAATAAATTGTTATCGTATACATATGTTTATAATAGATTGACAAGGTAGAAACCTATAATACGACATGGATGCAATATCAATCATGCTACATACAAAACAATGAATTATGTGCCTACATAAATAATGAATGTGATATTACTCTATAATAAAAGTTTGGATTAGTTCACCTGTTTGTCACCCACCTATTCTTACAAATTAAAGCTACGCGAGAATTAAATGCTCACATGTAGCATCCATCAATCACCAATAAAAATTTATTGGCCTCAACTTCGAAGTGCAAAGTTGGCCACCAACTCGGGAGATTAGGTGTCACATATTAATGTGCATTTAATTTCCAAATTGACCCAAGATTAGCCTTAATGACATTTTCACACTCAAAAAGTTTCAAAATGTCATTTTTCCATCTACCCAAAATATACTTCATTTTCTCAACCAGCGTTCAGCAAGTTACCAAGACCTAAGGTGAGAGAGCTTTTGTAGAGTGGAGACTGATGAATCGAATGGTTATGATCGATTGAGTATTCATTGTAGGTGCTGAATATTGGGATTGTGCCTTGAATCCCATATTGCTTGGGAATGAGAGTTGCAAAGGGATTCTCCCCTTTAAATAGACTAGTAGATTAAACTTTTAAAGTATCTCAAAAAGTGTAAAATAGACACCAAAAGAATAGTCATTGTAGGCTGTTATTAGGAGTGTAATTGGGCTTTTTGGGATAGTGTAATTGGGCTTTTTGGGATATTGTAAGGAGTTTGCAATTTTTCTCTTCTACAAATTGTATAGTTGTAGGCTTTTGCTTAGTGGATAGTGGATATAGGCTATATTGATTGGGTCGAACCACTTTAAAATTCTTGTGTTTGGTTTGCTTTATTTTTTGTTACTTGCTTTAATTTTGCGTTTGAGTTGTGGGTATCTTTTTTCAACACCGAAGTGAGAGAGATTTTGTATAGAAGAGACCAGAGGTTTAAATGGTGGTGATAGAGAAAATTTTCGATGTCGCAATCTGCTTTGGGTATTAATGGAATATGAACTTTGGGTGAAAAAGTGGTATTTTAAAACTTATTGGGTGGCAAGTTTCATTAAGACAAACCTTGGGTGGAAAAAGAGTCGTTTACTCTTCCAAATTCAATTTTCTTTGGAAGCTCCGCAGTCAAATGTGATGGAGCCAACGCAAGTTTCCTATAAGAAAAATCAACGGACAACTATTACTCATTAGTCACATTAATACCTACGAAATTAAAATGACAAAATAAAATTGTTATGCCTAAAAAGTTACGTTTATGTCAGCTAAATGTATTTTTATACTAGCTACCAAGCCTAAACCTCCTCAAAGATATTCATACCAACCCTATCTCCTTTCAAGAGATGAATAGATGGGAGTCTTTCATATATCAATACAACTTGCAAAACACTCATTACATTGACCTCAAAGATATATAAATTGACACTTCTCTTCACGAAAAAGGAGGGCGGAGCAGATGAGAGTTAGACATAGATTTTAGCTTCATTTCATTATTTCTCTCTGTAATCAAAGCTCTTCTCCATCTTTGTATGCCTTATGGGCAATATAATAGAAATAGTAAGAGAATAATAAAATAACAATAGACGTAAGAATCGTTTTTGACCACTATAAAAACCCCATCTTGCCAATCTTTTATTTATGTTTCTACAAAATATATAATCTCAGCTCCATATTCAAATCTCATAGATCCATCACGTGTAATTTCTAAGACTCTCTTAGCATTTTACACGTGCGAGTAGTTGGCGTCCAAAATCAAGCGTCAACAAAAATAAACTAAAAAAAGACTGTAAAGTAAGAAAATAGACTTAAAAGGGGTTGGAATGAGAGTATTTGAATATTATTTGTTTTGGATCTCTCAATTTTTTGTGTATTTTAGAATGAGGGGAAAGGGGGCTACAACAAGCTTGATGAAAGAAAAATAGGGCTAAAATATGTTTTTAAAGGCTTAGACTGGTTAGCTAGTGATAATAATATAAAAGGGTAGGGTTGAAAGGCTTAACCAATCTAAAAATAGCATAAATCATTTCCTAAGTAATGTGAATTCTAAAATTTTGCCTCAAGTGATCATCAAATGAGTTATAGAGTTTGTTGAAATCACAACTTCTGTAAGCATTTAGACTAATAAAAAAAATTCATACCAAAAACCAATAGTCTCAAACTAGATGCAATTAATGCTCAAAATCATCTTTAAACCAAGGCAAAGTTTAATGTCTTCTAAAAGTTAATGTGATTGCGATCACATTAACATCATCGACATACAAATTAATCCAATAACTAAACAAAATTCAACCAAAAAAAAAAAAAAAAATCCTCGTAAATTTATAAATTCAAAATTTTTGGAAGAAACATCCCTTACCCCCAATCTAAGATCTACATTGTCCCCTATATACAAATGTAAACAAAAGAAAAAAGAGAAGAAAAAAAAAGTGGCCCTTGTTTTGCAATAGTGATGAAGTGCGAAAACGCGTGACAAATTGATCACCAACTCGTTTCATTCCATTGTTGCTATTTAATCACACTACAACAAAAAGGGCTTTTAGCTACGAATTTTTTCGTTGTTAAAAACCTAGAAATCATTGCGGTTTATATTTAGTAACGGAAAAAAATTGTTGCATTGATCGTCGTGGTAGGCATGTTGCGCTTGATTTTAGGTGACAATTTGTTAAAATTCGTCGCTAAATCTGGTCACAAACCAAAAAATTGTCGCCTATACCATTTTCGTCTCTAAAACTAGTTATCGTTGAAATATTAAATGTCGTCGCCTAAAGTTAATAGTGGTGTACTCTCTATTTTGTCGTCTACACTATACTGCGATGAGATGTGTATTTGTGTCGCCTAACGTACACTGCGACGAAATGTGAATTTTGCTCGCCTATGATATACCGCAACGAAATGTGAATTTTTATTGCATAAAGTTAATAGCGACGTTATAATTGTGTGCTTAGCTTAAAGTATATAGCGACGAAATATGACATTTTGTCACCTAACATGTAGTGCGATAAAATATGAGTTGTTATCGCCTAAAGTTAATAGCGACGTAATCTCTATATGTGTCGTTTAAAGTATAGCATGATGGTACTTTATATTTCATCACTTGAAACTATTAGCGATAAAACGTAAAAGTCATCAGCAAAATTTTTCAACGTTGACTGTATTTCATAGCTAAAAGTCTATAACGTCGAAATATAATTGTTGTCGCTCAATATATATATATATAATATTTAATTTATGTTAGAAATTTTAAAATTTAATTCTAAAACATAAATATCAATTTGTAGATGTAATTGATTGAAATCAGACAAATATACCAAACCAAATACATTATAGAACTATATATGTTTGTTTTTAAATAAAAAGTTGACTAAATTGTTAATGTTGAACAAAAAGTGACAAATAAAAACTCAAATTGTTGCAAGTGGTGGAGGATCTGGTGGAAATTGGCCCGAAAATATATGTGAACCATTAGATCGAGAACCCATATTCCCATATTAATTGAGATGAACTGCTACATCTTCTCCCTTGTTTGCCTATATTGGTGAAATTCTTCCCTTATGCCTCGTGGTTCTTGCACCTCCTCACGCAAGTGTGCGAGTTCCTCTAAAACTTCTTGATTGGCTCACCTTGAAGTCTTAGAAGATGCAGGTGGTTTTGAACCATAACCTAGTCCACGATAATAACCATGTTTTTTTCCTAAAACCTGTTGAGTGATCTCTAATTAAGTAGGTGGTTGAGAACCTTCCTTAGGCTCCTGATTGAGAATGTTCTCCATTTGTTTATACAAAAATAATATATATGTACATACGCACAAATATATAAATAAAAACAATATACTTTTATAAATTAAAAGATTAAAACATATTAGGTTATAATATAAAAATATAATAAACTTTTATACAAAAAAAAAAAAAAAAAAATACACTACGTAATACTTACATATCGAAGCTTGGGTTCATCATTTATCCAAGTATTTCTTTTACTACTAAAATCAGTGTCATGGAATAAATGCACCTCCCCTTGGAATTAGCTTTCCGGAAGATCCTAATATTCCAAAAATAAACAAATAAATAACAATTTCAATATACACTTTAAATAAAAAATTATTCAAAAATAAATATTTTAAACCTCTAAATTTTTTGTTCAGTGAAAAACAAAGGGTTTTGACCCACCATAATGATTGTATGGCAACTTAGCACAATTGGCCTTGTTTACTTTCGAAAGTTTATGAAAATTGAATAATGATGCATAATGAAATATGTAAGAATATTTTAATTAGGTCAAAATAAATATTAGATAATGTTTCAATAATAAGCATTAAAAAATAAGAAACCGAGTATAAATCATCCACATAATGTTATTAGTAAAAATCATAAATATTAAAAATTATTACCTGATAATCTTCACTAGCAAAATGTGTGCATAACCAATCCCAATCTTCTATTCGCACATCTTTATAAGGATGTTGTCGTGCTTCTTAAGGATCCTCAAAGCTTCGAAAATACTTGGCATGATCACAACGATTATCACGAGAAGCCCTATCTATAAGATAATTAAGGTACTTAAGGACTAAAGGATCATTCAAATCAATATCAAACTTTGTCTACAACATAATATATATATATATATATTCAATATATTAGTAATTATTCAATATATTGTAATTAAAAAATTGTAATTAATA